TTAAGTAACAGTTAATAAGAAATAATAAAAAAGATATTAGAAAGATAGATACTAGAATTTATATAAACTTTACAAGAATATAGTAGTTTAATAATTAGCTCTAATTGCAAATATTATTCTAGTACTAGATTAACTATAAGTATGAGATATAAAAGGCTTTAATACAAAGTTAAAGATTTTTTATATGAATAAACTGCTTTAAAGACTTTATAATTATAATATATTTTTATTGGTATTAACTAGAACAGTTAGTAGAATAAGTAAATAATAGATACAAAAAAAACTTATAAACAGGTTCTAGATATAGCAACTAGTAAAACTTTTGAACAGACTACTAAAATTAAACAATAACTGAAGTTGTATAAGTAATTAGTTGTATACTATTTTTATTAGTTTTGTAGTTGTTATACAAACAGCTTTTAGCTAAATATACTATTAATTGAATTCTAAATTATAAGTATTCATCTTAATATTAAAAAATATAGAGATAATAAAAAAATCTTAGAAGTTTTAAATATAACAAAGCTAACAAGTTCAGATAATATAATACTAATAGCAAAAAGTTTAGTTGTAGAAAAGGTAAACAAAATTATAGTATATAATTTATTTTTATATAGTTAAATAATAACAACTTTTAAAAAAGTAAAAAATACAAAATTATAAATAAAATTATAAAAATTATATTAGAAAAATTAGAACAATAAGTTAAATCTAAAGTTAGTTAAGTTTTTTAAATATAAAATTAAAAAAAATATTAAAGAAGAAAATAAAATGCAAAAAATAAAAAGTATTATAAAGAATAAAAATATATAAATTAAAAACAATAAAAAAACAATATTTAAAAGAAAATAAAAAATATAAAAATATAAAAATATAAAAGTTAACAATAATACTAAAATAAAAAGCAAAAATAATACCAAAATATAAATAAAATAAACAATTATAACAAGAAATAATAACTTTTTTAAAACAAAGTGCTTGAGCTTCACTAACAAAACAAATAATACAAATAAGTTTTATTAATCAAAAATACTAGTCTACAATTTTTTTTTTTACTTAAGCAGTTATGCTAGTACTTTATTAAAATTCTTGGAATTACTATTGTAATTATATAAATAATCTAACAACTAAGCCTAGCATCACCTAGCCATCCTAATGGCATTTAAATGCAACTTGCTGTATTACTTTAAGCAAAAGTAAGCTGCTTGTTTAACTACTTAAAGTCTATAATAAAAAAGTCTTATTTTTTTCATAACATGCTTTAAAATTGTTTTTCTAGCTTGATCTTTAATTTACTTTTCCTTCTTTTTTGCTTTCTTCTTTCTTTCTTCTATTTAACCTTTTTCTTCTTGCTTGAACTCTTTCTTCTTTTAGGTTTCTTTTTTATTTTGCTAGTTATTTTTATTCTTCTTTCTTATACATTAACTTTTTTGTATTATATATTTAAACTTGTTCATAAAAGGTGTTTTAGGCTGTTTCTACTAATATATTTATAAATTGTTGTCTTATTTTTATGTTTAGAAGTTATACTAATCTGTTTTAAGTTATTCTTAAAATTAGGCCATTGATTAGTGTTTTTTTTATTTCTATTTTCTCTATTTTTGTTTTTCTAAAAAGTGGCATATATAGTATATAAGATAGAACTCTGGCTTTTCTTTTTTTTTAATTCTTTCTATACTATTGCAATAGATATTTTCTGAATCTTTTTCTAAATGCTTGTTTGTTTCTTGCATAATGCCAAATGCCCTTGTGTTTTTTTGATTTTGTTTTGATATATTTGGCATTCTGCAATTATATATATATTTGACTTTTTTTTGTTGAGTTTCTCTAATATTAGAAGTTTGTTTAATATATATTTTATAAAAGTACTTCTTCTTGTGCTACTTCTTTTTGTTATACAATATACTTCTTTGATTGGTTTTAACTTTTTTCAAAATTATGTTTAATTATAAATTATTATTTCTGTTAATAATTTTAGATTTTTAATTACTGTTGTTTCTTTTCATTTTGCATCTAATCTGGCATTTATTATTAGCTTATATAAAAGTCTTACTAACATATTTATTTATTTGTTTTTTTACTCTAAGCAGTACTCTATCTTTTCGTAACTAACTTCTTTTATATATATTATCTTTTCACTTGATATTCCTTTTTTCACAAGACTGTTAATTTATTATTTTATTTGTTTTTGCTGTAATTTTTTACCTTAAACTACTCTACTTGTATGTTTTTTGTTTTAATTAAGTCAATTATCTTTACTATTTACAAAGCATTTTTCCTCTTAAGAATTCTATTTTTATCTATATACTCTAAACCTTTACTAATATTTCTAATTACAGTGTTATTGTCTGTAAATATTTTTGGTTTTTTCTTTTTTGATATTGTCAGAATTGCTGTTCATATTGCTAATAACTCAACTGTAGTTAACATTAACTATTTTTTAAATTCTAATGCTATTTCTTCTTCTAATCAATCTTATATCTTACTTGTTTGTACTTATTCTATATCTATGTTTTCATTTCTTTATTTTATTTATTTGCTATACTGTCAGTATATATTATATATTTGTCCTTGTTTTTTAATACAATTTTTTTCAAAATTTTTGTTATTTTTTAAATAATGTTCTCTCTTAACTTTTGTCTTTTAAATAATTCTATTTCTAGACTTTCTAGTATTCTGAGTTCTGTTAGCTTTTGTTTATTTTTTACCAACTTTTCTGTTCTTGTATACCTTATTATTAGTCTATTACTGCATTAATTATATTATTGTTTTTTATTATTAGTATGTCTGAAATTATATTTATTTGTTATTAATTCTTATTCAATATTAACAGATGTTTTTTAATATTTCTTCTTTATTTATATATCTGTTGTATTTGTTAATTTCAGTTACTAGATCATTTTCTATACTTTGCATTTGCCAATGTTCTATTAGTAACTTTTTTTTTTTTAATTACTTTTCCTAGTTGTCTGTTATCTTTTGCATCATATACTATTTATTCTCTTTTTCTTTTATTCTTTGATAAACATTTTTACTTAACTTTTATTGCTTATATATTATATTTATCTGCCTTGAAAGGTTTTTTAACCTTTTTATTTTCTAGTCTGTTAAGCACTTTTGTTTCTATCATTTTGAACCATTTTGTTTTTTTATTTTTACTTAATTGTTTTTAATAATTTTTAAATTGGTACCATATTATTAACCTTTCATCTTTTGTATTAAATAGTTAGTTTAAATATATTAAGTCTGTTTTGTTTATTTTAATTCTGTTTAGTTTTTATAATCATGTTTCTAGTAATTCAACTATTTTATAATTATAATTACTTGTTGTTTATAGCCTACTTTCTGTATTTATATTTATTTTTAACTCCTTGCTTTAACTATTGTCAAACAGGCTAAATTGTTCTTCCAACATAACCTATCTGCTGCTAATTGAAAAATATAAATTATAGTATATCAAAAATTCTCTATATATTTAAAATTAACAATTATGTTTTATAAATAAAATTTCATTTTGAAAACTTTTACTTAAAAGTCAAAAATTAGTCACTATAATAAATTTTTGAGTTATTTATGTTTTTTTGTTTTTAGCATTTGGTTTGTTACATGAAATTTTGTAATTTTATTGGATCCAGATAAGGTTAAAAGTTTTTTTGATATAAGAAAAATCACCATCCAAAAAAGGTTTAAAAATTATGTGATATTGTCAATTCGATCAACTACCCCAGTACGGGTGTACTTAAAATGTACCTGGGGTATAGGCTCTTAACCTATGACCAAAAATAATTAAATTAAATTTAAATAGGCATCACGTGCCAACTAATCCTTATTCTAAAAAACTAAAATTGAGACACAAGATAATAACCTCTACTCCAGATATATTTTAAGAATTTTCCCTCAGTATCGCCATCAAAAATCACAGTCACGTGATTTTCCATGTTGCAAATCCAGAAATTCTACGGACAGAGTTTAGGGACAGAATATGGTCATGTAACAGATTATGGTCACATGATATACCGGATAGCTCAAATTATGTGACACAACTACAAGAAAATTATTTTGATAATAAAATGCCCTAAACTATATACTTCTGACCACTTATAAATATATTCCCTTTAAAAAGTTTCAAGCAATTTATTTAATAAACATTCAAAATTTATAGTATATAAGAAACTATATTGGAATGTTAAATTTGTATACTGTAAAACTAATAAAAATCTGTTAGATAAGCGCCGCAAAAGTAAAATCTGCAATTGTTCATTAAAAAAAATTACAGGCTTTCTCTTTGTGGCAGCCAAATTATACAATTATTAATTAAATTATTACTTTGAACCTCGATAATTGTACTAATTCTCAATATGATTAGATCAATGTTAAAATTGTCTAAATTGTTTTTTATAATAAATTATAATCAAAATTGTTTCATCCTATAATAAAAATTTGTAAGAATCATAATCAATGCCGGAAACTAAAGATTATTAATTAATAATTCTGAAACCTGCATATAAATGTTTTCCATGTAGAAAGGTGAATATAACCAAAAAAAGAAATAGTATAGTGATCGTAATGCAGTTGCAAAACATAGCAAATCTTAATAATACTATTCAAGAAAAGCTTATATCCTATTTGCCACATGTGTTTAAGAATTGATGCAAAGGAAAATACTGTTTCTAACATTCAGTAAAGAAAAGTTAATTAGCACCTTACCAGTTTTTTCTTTACAGCCAAGCTAATTATAAAAAAAAAACAAAATATATTGTTCAAAATCACACTGTCATAATTTCTCACTAAAAATAAATTCAGTATTAATAAATTAGTAGTAATCGTATATAAAGACAAATCTTATTTTTTAAAAATACTTATTATTTTTATTTGAAATAAACATTTTGTCGAAAAACAAGACTGATCATACTAAGTACTCAAAATTTTAATTAATTCAAATAAAATGATTAAATTTAGTAAAGAAAAAAATTAATAAATAAAATAAACTACCTATAATCATGTTGCCATCACAATCACAAGTTCCAGAAATTGGTAGCAAATTCCAAACAGTAGAAAGTTTCAAGGAAGCTGCTCAACAAGGTGCTAAAGCAGCAGGTTTTGCTTTTAGTGTGTCATCATCAAAAATGTCACATAATAAAAAAGGTGGCCAAGCTTCCTATATTATTTTACAATATACAATGGAGGGCGAGTATAGAAATAATCATAATATTATTGAAGAAACCAGAAAAAGAATTAAATTTACAAAGCATCAAGGCTGCCCTGTTGCTTTGTATGCTGTTTTGGATGAGAAAGCTAGTGTTTGGATAGTACGATTTTATAAAGATCAGCATTCTTATGAACTCCTCCTTCTGTCACAAGTTCACTGCCTCCCTTAATATCGACAGCTTAATACAGAACAAAAGGAGCTAGTTCATATGATGCTCAAAAGTGAAGTGCCAATTCAGTCAGTTGCTGATGCAGTACAATGGAAGCATGGTACTGTGTATACGAAAGATATTGTTAATGAACATGATAGAATTAGAAATGCTCTGAATGAAGGCTCAAATAATGATACAACTATGCGGCTTTTGCAGATATTAGAAGAATGCCAGTATGTAGTTCGCCATCTATTATCAAAAGATGATTGTATGAAAAACCTATTTTTTACCCATATTGAAGCTGTGCGTCGTGCTGCTATATGTCTGGAGGTGCTAATCATTAATGCAACTTATAAAACAAATTTGTACAAGCTCTCTTTAATAAATTCTGTTGGTGTTAATAATATTGGCAAAGCAAAATCCCTTGATATATATCAAATCACAATGGCATGGGTAGAAAATGAAAAGGAATATACCTATGAATAGTTTTTAAATACGTTAAAAGAAACAGTCTATGATACTTTTTTTTGTTCTCCAGAAGTATTTGTTTCAGATAAATCCCAAGCTCTTCGAAATGCAGCAAATAAAGTTTTTCAAAATACAAAAAAAATGCTCTGTATCTGGCACATGTTTGCCCAAAACTTACGTACTGTATGCAAAAAGTTTTTTGATTCTGATAATGATTATGAAAAATTATTGCTATCAATTCAAAAAGTTGCTTATCCCAAGGAGATGAGTATAGTCGAAAAAGCATTTGAAGAGGTAAAGCAAGCAGCAATGAAGAGTAGAGACCCTAATTATATTCAAAATTACTTTGAGAAATGGAAAAAAGGTTCAGAATGTTGGATGCATGTTTATACAAAACATTATTCTTATATGGGAGTTCAATCAATGCAACAAGCAGAAAGAAGCCATAACAGTTTAAAAAAAGCAATTGAGGCAGCAAGCGGGCTAGATCAGGTATTTTCACATATCGATCATGCCTTTCATCAACATCAACTACAAAAAAACAGAGCTTTAGGTCTGAATATAATTTCAGCTGATCTGTTTATACTTAATAATATGAAATTTGAACAGTTGGTCAGAAAAATTTCTAGATAGGCAATTAATCAAATAAAAAAAGAAATATGTGAGGCTCAAGAAAATTATGATAATACAAATAATAGCGTTTGCAACTGTAGCTTGAGACTAAATTTCAAACTACCATATCATCACATAATTCTATCAACAGGATCCATCCCACTTTCAATTATCCACCTCCGCTGGCTTCTAAAACATAATTTTGTACCTTTATTACCTTCATCTTTGTCAACTGATACAGCTTTTAATAAGGCTTTGTATATGGTTGAAGAAAAATATGCAAATTTAAATGATAGTTGGTCTAAAGCTTTATTGTTACATAAAATCGAAGCATTTATTGCTGAAGAAATTGTAATTCCAAAAACACCAGTACATACTGAAAATATAAGATGACCAACTTCCACCAAACGAGATCTTCTTCGTAATGAACTACAAGATAAGGCTGCTAAAAAAAAAGAAAAAAATACACCAAAATTTACAACTGATTTACCAAAATCACAGCAGCTTTTATATCATGACCAAATACTTACCTATATGCATGAACATATAAAAAAGATAATTAATGTGAATGGAGATAGTAATTGTGGGTATAGAGCACTAGCTATATGTTTATAAAGAGATAAAAATGAGTGATCAAAGATTCGAAAGGAATTACAAAAAGAATTAATTAAAAAAAAACAATTCTATCGTATCTTGTTTCTAGCCAACGATGATTATGAGACAATTATGAAAGAGATCTCTTGGGCAAATGGCCCTTGTACATTCGAACATTGGATGAGAATGCTACAGATGGGAGATGTTATAGCAAATGTCTACCAAAGGCCATTGTACTTTTTTTCACTACAAATTAATTTTACCTTTCTTCCATATCATCATCCATTAAATCGAAATGAAGCACTTGCAATAGCCTTCGTTAATAATAATCATTATGTGGCTATTACATTGAAGCCTGATGCCCCTGTACTATCAATTGTAAATCGATGGACACAGTTTGCTACCTCGACTGCGATAAGATGGAAGCTACTAATTCAAAATCATATTGATTGCTTTTTTATAATAAGTAGTTCATCTAACGAAGTAGATCAAAAAATAATAATAATAAATTAATTCCAATAAATTAACTTTCATATAGATAGACAAATTTGATAATACGCTCCAAGCATTGGTTTAATCGAATAAAGTAACCATTTTTATCTTGCAAGTTTATTGAGCAAAAAAATTAACGCTAAAATGCTAGATTACTAAAAGATCTACAATCTAATTACCGTTAAGTTTTATCACGTGATTTGAGCTATCCGGTATACCATGTGACCATATTCTGTCACGTGACCATATTCTGTCCCTAAACTCTGTCCGTAGAATTTCCGTTGCAAATCAATGAGATTACAAGATCAGGTGTAACATTGCACGATCCTGGAAAATCAGAACAAACGTTCGTTTTACTAAAAATCGCCCATAACTCGAAATTTTGCATAGGAAACCACCTTTAGTGCACTAACAAAAAAACTTCCTTGAGCGATTTTACTAATATATTCTTACTACTATCTAATCATAATATAACGCTAACCCTAATCTTAACGAATTAGGAATTCTTATTGACATCACGTGACTGTGATATTTTGGTGGTTATACTGGAGAAGATAATTAAATCATGAATTGATTTTTTTCTTAGATTCTTTAAAGTAAAAAGCGATCATTAAAAGCATAAAATCCACGCTGTTTTAAAAATATATGTTGATTGCCGTAACCAAATTTCCACGAAAAAAGAATGAAAATCAAACTAATCAAGAAAATACAATTGAACCAGAAAATCTTGTAGATATATTTGGATCCAGGACGCAGCAACAAAAAATTATTAAAGAAAACAAATAGGAATATAATTAAGGACTGTTTTAGCCTGTATAGATTTTTATCGTGTTTCTCAATTTAGTTAGCACGTGATAGCCTTTTTAAATTTAGTTTATTTATTTAGGGGTTATAGGTTAAGAGCCTATACCCGGGTATAGTTTAAGGACGCCCTATAATTAATTAGTTCATGCTTATTAGTCACATAATGATTAGTCACATGATTTATCACTATACCTGTGTTTCATACAATTGAACTCATACAGGAGGATCCCCAAAATTCCGGGTCGGAATACTTCGGAATCATGATCGGCAGGGCCGGAATTAACCCCAAAAGTTTTACTAATGAAACCATAGCTCACTCCTTAAGTAAAGCTGCCCAGCTGATAATTTTGGCCAGAAATAGTTAACTTGTATTACTAAATGCTAACTAAATGCTGAGGATCCCCCTGTATGAGTTGTACAATTGCTATATGAAAATCAAATTAGTTTGTGTAGCCCAAGTTTAAAATTTCTTTTTACTATATACTAATAATACATATATATTATATATTATATGCGTCTGGATACGGATAGCTCAAAAATATAAGTGACGAGTTATTATAATTATTATTGATCCACATTAATTTTCTGATAAATTTCAAGAGAACAATTTTATCAGATCATCAGGCAAAACAGAAATTGGAGAATTTATTTTCTGAACCAGATCATTATGTAGAAACATAGAAACACAAATATGTAAATTATTAGGCTATAAGAATATTAAGATACATATAATACGTTTTACATGATATGCATGTTATTACTGACGTAAACTCAAACATTAGATTATTCGTGGTTTCTTTTCATGTTTCATACATTTAGAAGTATAAACTGTTCGTGTTGTCATTCCCTGAAACTCTTCATTGCTATTATCTTCTATCCACAAAAAATCTTCTATTGTACTTGAACTTTCAGATAACAGATGCTAATTTATAAAAAATGTTAGTGCTTTGTGTTCTGAATTCTATTCCTTCCGTGATGCAACCTTATACAACCTCATATTTTAAGAATCCGATTATAGCTTCGTGTGAATTCCTCATGTCTTTCCAGGTTTTCAGGATTGAAAATCTCAATAATTCTTTTACGGTGTATATTTCCGAGAACTTGAGTCGAAATTCATATAGAATAACTTGATATACTATGAACTCCAAGAGTTAGCAACATACAATAATCAATGATAATAATATCCAAAACTTACAATATATTTGCATTCCATACAGACTAACCGTTCTAATATCAGAGTTTGGACGAAGTCTCGCAAACCGATTCATCAATGTTTTTGACATTTTAATTATTTTTAGCCGATCTCCGATAAAATGAGACCAATCTTTTTTCGATGGGGGACCGCTTACTTCCGTGACAGAGAATTCTTCATCATCATTTCTCGATGCGATAATTGTATCAATCTTCTCACCAGGTGAGCGTCGCTCATCATCTGTTTTCTGGGAATTTTGTTCTTCAGCGCTCGCTCTAAGACATGTTTCCCCATACTTTGTGAACCAAACCTTCTTGTTTTTTATGAAAAGTCGATTAAGGATTGGTGCCAGAACCATTGCAATGAATGTCCCTTCAGACATATCCTTGAGAAGTACATTTACGTCTTCAATAAGCTCGATCCTATATAAACCATGGTTAATTAGTCTTATTGCACTTATCGGTGAAAATCGAGCAAAATATAAACTCACATGTGGTTCACAAAAAATATTGCAAAATCCTCCTCAAACGTATCGTTCTTTTGTAATTTAAGATTTTTCTTAGTTTCCTTTATGTCGCGAGTAATAATATTATTCAGAAATGACTTTATTTTTTTTTCGATATTATCTTCGGTGTTATCATCCTTTCTCTCTATTTCCTTACGCATCTGTATAACGATGTTTTCCTCCAGTGTCCCCAAAAACCCATCTTGATTTTTGTCAGTGAACAATATTACGTCATAATATTCTGGTCTTGTTTTTGGAAGACCTGTTTCCTGATACTCTGTGAGTCTTTGACGGATGTTAATCCCATTCACTATCCAACTAGTACTTTTGCCACCAATAATTGTTCGTTTTGCGTCATACTCCTCTTCATCCACCTCATTATCAAGGTCACGTTTAATTCCTTGTGATGATTCAGGGTTTGGATCAGTTGTTAATAAATCATAGCCCGTCGTTATCTGTTTTTCTTGTACTTTATGTCCACTAACAGATACGTCAGCTTGAGTGAACATCGTGTAAATCGTGGAATTTGCAGACCTTGCGGTGTTAGCCAATAATTTAAGCTAGATATGATTTTAAAATATTTATAAGCTACACATCCTAATAAAAAATAGTTGTTAGGATAGTGCAAGATGCTTACTCTGTTCTCAAGGATACCCGACCTAATCGAATGGGCTGTGACTTGGTTCTCATGAGTTTTTAGCAATTCTGCACACTCCTTTTTGTCCACATTATATTTTTCAATTAGCTTCAACGCCATAGTCTTCTGCTCATCGTCAAACTCCGATGACTTACAAATATTTTGTAGTCCTTCTTTGTAGAAATAAAGGCAGTCACTTTTTATGAAACCTGGTCCAGAACGCGTTTCAATGAAAGAACTAAGTTTCCACAGTTCGGAAGTAGTAGTGAGAAAATATGGATCAATAAAGCCTTTCATGGTGAAACTTTCGAATTTCTGTGGTGGAAGTTTAATATAAAAGGCGATTCAGTTAATAGACCGCGACACGAAATCTTAAATATCACGTGGTTGAAATCTATCGGTGGCTTAGACTTTTAAACCCCATGACCATAATGTGTAATCTACCTAAAAATTTTTTTTCAGATGTCGTCTATACAAGCTACACAGCGCTTTATGTGCCTCTAATTAATGCACAAAAGATAAGTATATTATTTCGAATTCGAACACTCTTGCGAGTATTAACAGTTCGTCCTAAGCCTACATCTTGCGATGACAGGTTAGGTTTCGCAACGGACAACTGTTACATTCGCACCTTGTCCTAAGCCCGGTGTCTTGCGACGACGGCTAGTCTGGTGTCTTGCGACGACGGCTAGTCTGGTTTCTTGCGACGACGGTTAGGTCTTGCGACGGACGGGTGCAATATTCCAGAACTATTTAATCTAATACTTTTTTTACAATAGTATATCAGATATGGACTTGCATACGAATAAATAAAGAGTATGAAAACTTTTTGGATATGAAAGAGTATTGAGGTATGGGAATTGTTTCTGTTGAGCCTTTTTTGCCTTTCTGAGGATTGATTCAAATTATCCAATAAATGTTCTTTGAATTCTGAGATTAATTTAAATAGTTCATCTCCTTGACTTTTATATATTCCTTTAAGCCAAAATGGGCATTTTGGATTTTTAGTTCTATCTGGATGAAAACACGATCCAATTACTCTAGCGCGTCTATTAATCTCTTCTTCTGTATTTATAACATTTTTGAATAAAATTCTATTTTATTTGAAGAATTTGAAAATTCTATCCTTTTTGAATATGCTATTTCATGTGCTAAGAATTTTAAACTTTTCAAATGATCGATCAACCCTGTAC